TTACTCGATTTGGGATGTCTAATATGTCTTTGGTTTCATAATGTGTTCTTAGTCCTATAAACTGCCTGCAGTTATTATAGAATGCACAACTTCCATCAGCTATATTTTCCGTCCAATTTTGTTATTACCATTCAAAAACTCTTTAACTTGAATTTAAATATGTCCCTTATGTGCTTATTGAGAACAGGCTCTACATAGGTATGATAACATTAAGTTAAATTTGTTTTGGATTTCGAAGGAACATTGTACAGCAGATATTAATTGTAACTCGGAGTGGAGTTGAATAGCTTAGTGGTTAAGGTGCTTGCCCTCAATTTCCAAGATCCTAGGTTCAATTCATGTGATAGCAGGACTTTTTTTCACAACTAAAAACAACTTCACTCGATAAGCCTCATAGAGAGACTTTGCTGATAAAAGCATCATATTGTTTTATTTATTTAAGAGGCCCCTGAATATCATCAGCCGGCCTTCTAGGATACGCCAGAAGGGTTACCATCTATAAATATGCCCTGTATATATATATATATATTTTTAAAGAGAAGGAATTCTGCATTCAAATCAATTCGTTTTAAAAATACTGTGTCTGACTTCACTAATTTCTCTCCGCATAAACGTGCATATGAACAAAAACAGTATACCGCAATTAGTGATTAGAGAAATATTATAATGGTTTGTACTGTATTCCTACTGTGCCCTCTGGGAAAACAGTAATTACTTACTAAAGAGGCGAACGTTAGTATAAAAAACAATTAAATAAAATATAAATATATTATTATCTTTATACACCGTGGTGATATGCACAGAGGGACAATTACAAATATACAGCTAATCCAGAAAGATATCGTTTTAGTGACAAATGCCGAACAATAGTTTCACACCTTCAGAGCAACGGACTTTTTAGTCTTATCCAATAGGCCTAACCTAATGGGATGTAACGCCGAAACCCGAAGATTAGGGGCGGATTGCTATAAAACGGTCTTAACTTGTAGTCTTTACTCCTCTAATAAAGCCGGCTTTATCACTTAGACGGTCTTACTAAAGTCATTCCTCTAAGACCATTGCTATAAAACAGTCTTCCCTAAGACCGCTTTGAGTATTGAAATGCAGACAGGCACTCCCTTTTAACGTAATTGAGGGCGACGTCATGCGTGCTCGACGCACGCAAATGTATCGAAATGAACGTAAATAAACTCCGTATACCTACTTTTACAGACGCTGAGAAGTGTGCAGAGTATTCGTCGTTCGGTTCTCCAACTTTGACGATCTAGGCCTAGGTCTTGCCACTGCACTGTTGAATTAATCAGCAGAACGCCATGATGAAAATGATTTAAGACCGTTTTAAGCCTCCTCTGAGTAGGCTTTAAAATTTAAGACGGCTAACTGGTTATTAGACCGCGGTATAGCAATGGTCTATCATTATAGACCAGTAGTGACGTCACGATTCTAGCCGGCCAACCGTTAAGACTGTCTAAAGACCGCTTATAGCAATCCGCCCCTGGGCTTACATACATGTCGATTGCCCATCTATATTTCTTGGACGTCAGAGAGCAAGACAGTAGGGGTTGGCCACCTCCTGCACAACAAGTCTTTTTTTCCCTACATTCCCAGCATAGGCATAAACGTTAAGGTAATGTAAACGCATAATAGGCCTAGTGTTATATTGGATCAAGTATCACTTGGTTATTCTGTTAAAAATAATCACACCATTTCGTACTGCTTTCTAGTCGAGTTAAATAAAAAAAAAGCTCAACATGTTCGGGATATAATACGTTTATGGATAAGAATAATTCCGACTGGAAATCGATACAAAATCTCAGTAGCCTAGTTCTCTAATTTTACTGAATGAGGACCCACTTTCTACCGACCTATTTTAGGTGACCCAAAATAAAATACCCGCCTACAAAAGGCTGAAAACAATAGTCATTTATGTAATAGTGATGATAATAATAGTGATGATAATAATAGTGATGATAATAATAGTGATGATAATAATAGTGATGATAATAATAGTGATGATAATAATAGTGATGATAATGAGATGATGTATAATGCTGATGGTGCGCAATCAAAATCAGCCAATAATCAATAATAATGACACGATTAGGATGATTATCAATAATGATAATATAATAATAATAGCTTGATAATAATGAGATTGGTACAATAATGGTAGTAATAATGACAATGAGATGATTAAATGGTATTGCCTGTGTGCAATCCCCCACAGATGATGATGATAATGAAATGATGATGTTGACAACTATGACGATGTTTATGACGATAATGGGGGTGCACTTCTCCACAAATGATCACATGGTTGCGAACTGTTCACATTTTCTCCCTATTTTGATGCACAGGTCCAAGTTGTAAGAAAGTCCTTCCAAAAGATCTGGTTAAATGAGTTTTCTTAACATATTTTATATTATTTTGCTATGCATGGCGATAGCCTGAGGCACTGACTTCTGTGAGACAATTGATATAATAGTAAAAAACCAGTGTTCTCCCGAAGCCGTTTAAGCCTTCAAGTTTAAAAGTAAAAATAACTGACCCACCAGTAAAAATTGTGTATTGGTAGAATAAAAAAACACCTGTCTCTTATACACATCTAGATGTGTATAAGAGACAGTTATATACCTCATACATAGATTCAATGCATCTGATTTGTTAAGAAGTGGGCAATACAAAGTACTATTCCCCTAAAAAATAGTACTTATTGCCCTGTCGCATGTGCAAACTCTAGGCTTACTTAACATCGCGTTGACCGCGCCACGGATCAGCGAGTAGACAATAAACAAAATATATGGAGGCTAGGCCTAGTTGGTTCAAGCTATATATATTTGCAAATCAGAGATATTTGTCACATAAACTTGTTAGTATGGAAAGGAATTAACAAATCGTCTTCTGTAATAATTTCCGAATGACATCCTAAAGCAAATGTTCACTACATGCATAACAACTGTAGTGAAAGTTGTATGCATGTAGATTTGGGGTCCATAGGCCTAAATGGATTCCTAAAAATAAGTTTATGTATCTAAATTAATATGTCATAAATTATTAATATTCTCTAGTATAATACACTTAAACACAAGTAATCATGGACCTAATAGGTCCACGATGTAATGTAGGCATAGAGTACTTACATGCTAAAATGTTTCAATTGTACAAGATAAGCACAGATGAAGTAATGAAAGAGAAAAAGAAAAACTTTAAATGGAAATTGAACATTCAAAACACTATTGAAACACATAATAAATTCCAATGGTTACCAGCAGTTTTATTTTGTTTATTTGAAAAATAAAAAACATAGTAATATATGACATTACATGGGTTAATTTCCACGCTTTGTAGTTGAAGTTTTTTCTTGTTTCCCTTTCTTGCGCCTTGAGCACTTTCTAAGTGGATATGTGCACTATATAAATCGTATTTATTATTATTATTATTATTATTATTATTATTAAATAGAAACTTAACTCCATAGTCCAAGGAGAAAAAGGAAAATTTGTGTAGCATAAGGCAATGTCAATTTAGTCAGTATATGTATAGTATTACATATTAAATTTACTACATTTAAACTATTGTTTCTATAATAGCATTTACCTTTACAATATAATGCTTACCTTCACAATATCAACCCAGTCCCAACCCCGTGGTCTTTCTCCTTTGAAATCTAAAATAAAAGAACACAACATGAGGAAGAAGGGTTTTTAATTAATTTAAAGATATACCATGCTGCAGTTTTATTAGGCTTCCAATCAACAAATAAAATTTATGAATATTTATTTCATATGAATGAGACAAATATGAAATGAAAAAAAAAGAAGACTTGAATCTGCTATGCCATGCTTTCTACTGTATATCATACAGAGGGCGAGTTAGCCCAGTGCTGAATGATTCGACCTTGGTACAAGACTGACCAAGATTGAGACTAGCCAACACTTGCCCGTGTCATTGGGTAAGACATAATTAATTCCCGCAGATGTTACATTAAGCTGTTAGTTGCTTACATAATAGCAAGGGTGTACATGCAGTAGGCACTGCATAGTCGGTATTGTGGGTCCCCTCGGGCCTATTCCAAATTTCCATGTTCATTTTTAACCAGGACTATTTATATTCTTCATTTTGCCTTTATTAATTTCGATTTTTATCATTTGTATGTTGACATATTACCTGTTTTGTCTGCCATTTTCCTCTTTTGTGCTTTTGTCAAATGTTCTTTCTTTTCCTTAACTTTTTTCGTCTGTTGCACATCTGTCACCCCAGCACTTGGTTCCTAGATTTCATTAGAAGGTAAATTTACTTTAAAACATAATTAGTGAGAGGTATTCGATAAAATAGAGTGGTTTATTTAAAGTTGGCACAACACTTCGGCTGTATGATTTGGTTAATATATTAGTTAATGATGCTTTAATTTCAGGGCAATCTCTTTATCTAAATTAATGTTGATTATGTTCTCTCAAGGGTTAACCTGACAACGATGAGGAAGACAACAACAACAATAATAATAATAATAATTATAACTATAATAATAACAATAATAATAATATGCGCTAAGTCGGACTTAAGGGGAATATCTTTTGTGTTATTTTCCCCTTAACGTCATGTTAATTTCCCCTTAACGTCGTTTTTTTTAATTGTTTTCTAATTTCTCCATTGTCTAAGTTCCCCTTAAGGTAGGTTTTAGTAACATAATAATAATAATAGTGATAATAATAATAGTGATGATAATAATAGTGATGATAATAATAGTGATGATAATAATAGTGATGATAATAATAGTGATGATAATGAGATGATGTATAATGCTGATGGTGCGCAATCAAAATCAGCCTATAATCAATAATAATGACACGATTAGGATGATTATCAATAATGATAAAATAGCTTGATAATAATGAGATTGGTACAATAATGGTAGTAATAATGACAATGAGATGATTAAATGGTATTGCCTGTGTGCAATCCCCCACAGATGATGATGATAATGAAATGATGATGTTGACAACTATGACGATGTTTATGACGATAATGGGGGTGCACTTCTCCACAAATGATCACATGGTTGCGAACTGTTCACATTTTCTCCCTATTTTGATGCACAGGTCCAAGTTGTAAGAAAGTCCTTCCAAAAGATCTGGTTAAATGAGTTTTCTTAACATATTTTATATTATTTTGCTATGCATGGCGATAGCCTGAGGCACTGACTTCTGTGAGACAATTGATATAATAGTAAAAAACCAGTGTTCTCCCGAAGCCGTTTAAGCCTTCAAGTTTAAAAGTAAAAATAACTGACCCACCAGTAAAAATTGTGTATTGGTAGAATAAAAAAACACTTATTAGGCCTAGGTAGCCTAGGCTGGCCTTCTTTCAATAAGCTAACATCATTCCAGTCCAGGCCTAGGCTATGACTATGTATTATTGTTTTTTTAAGCCATTAAACTCCACAATACCTCACGTTGCATGCGCTTAGCTGGGTCTATATGGACAATTTACAAGTAAAAATTCTCCAATTGGGAGAACACTGAAAACATTCAAATATTATGAATTTGCGGGAGATGGGTTATTTTCAGGGGAGATTTTTGCTTGCTTGAGGATGTGCGGGAGGCCATCCCAATTTCAGGGAGACTCCTGCGACTTCGGGAAAAAATGGGACCCCTGTTGATGAAAGCATGTCCATCAATAATGACAGACAAATAAAGAATAATAGTAAGAATAAATATTATGGTAAATACTGTAGATACCCTTGCTTGGATAACTTCTTCGACCTGATCCACCATAAGTGATTCTGCGTTTTCCTTCGCCCATTCAAATAGTGTATAAGTCATTGCACATTCCCGCCATTGCTCACCCTCTTCATTAATCTTAATCACAGCATTGCTTTTCACCTTAGGACATCTATTAATAGTGAAGAGAAAGTTTAATAATCAGGTATATTTATTCAAAATTCAAAAAATAAAAACCATTAAAATACAACCGAAAGGTCCACTGATTAATCTCAGATAAGAAAGTATAATACATACTCCAAGTATTGAAATACACGCCATCGTGTTGGGATTCAATATTTGGAGTATGTATTATACTTTCTTATTAAAATACAAATTAAAACAGAAGCCATTGGCAATAAATTGCATTAAAATTACAAAGTAAATGAGAAAGATAAAAGTATTAGAAATTTTAAAATTGTTAAGAGAAAACAAAAATCTTCATCTGGCTGAGCAAATACTGTAGTGAATAAGTGATGTTTTATAGCCAACTTTGTAAGTGTCTGAGACAAAATACAATTTAAAAACCCTCCTTTGGGACACCCCTCTTAAGAAGACACTTTTTCGGCCACGAAATGAAGGAAAGTATATCTTTTTAACACAATGGCCATCTTCTATTCAGGGGACATCCCTATTAAGGTGGCACTGTTTGGTCTTAAATTACCGTAATTATATATAGCACCCTCTATCTTTAATTTACTCAATATAGCACCTTCCTTTCAATAATCACAAAATAAAGCGATATCTATGTCAGTGGAATCGCTATGGATTACAATCCTTGATCAGTATGGCTTCATTAAAAGAAACTGATATGGCCAAGTACGGTATTCACATGTCATTAATTAATTGGTGGGTACAATAGGCCTGCACATTGAAGTTTTCTGAACATTTTTATGGTGCACAAGATATTACAATGTATACAGGGTATATAAAAATGGATGCTCATGATTCAACTCACGCATTATGCGTGAGACTTGACCCGGTGTGGATTTAGAGAGGGTGGGCCCCCACCTCTTTTTTGGAAAGTTTGAAAAAAAGAAAAAGAAAGGAATAGAAAAAAATTGATCGCCCAAAACGCCTTGTAGGTTGTTTTCGGACGTCTGGAAAATAAGAACACCCAAGGGAAGTGTTGTCTCTATTGCCCCCCCCCCTCTGCCACTTTGGGCCCCCTTGTTAGACATCTCTGAATTATTATAGTAAATACTGTATATTGATGATGTAGAACTTTAGAGCTACCTGTTTAAAGTGGAGACTGAACAAAATGCAAAGCACTTTTAAAACTTTTTGATTATTAATAAAGAGATGTATCAGGCAAAATGAGATGGGATAACACAACATACTGATAATTTACATAGTACATTATATTAACTTATATTTAAAAGCCAAAAAAATAGATCACTGAAATAATTTCCTGAAATAAGAGTTCAAAATATGTGTACATAACTTACATATGATTATTGTAGAATGCATCAAAGTTAATATTAGGTAACTCTGTTGGATAATTATCACCCCAGGCAATTTCTAATAAAAATGATTTAAAATGACCAATGTCTCCAACCTGCAAAAAAAAAAAAGATCAAAATATTAATACACACTATCAGTGTAGGATACTGCCCTCTACAACACACCACACAATCTTTCGTGTTCCAAGAACACCCTCTGTCTCAAAATCTGAACAGACAAGCCAATTTTAACACCCGTTTTCTAATCTGCTATTATCTTAAAACATTTTACCCGATATTGAAATGTAGTTGGGTTCAGCTCTTTAAAATTTTCATCTCCTTCGTAGATGGATTGCAAAACTTCTCGTTCTTCCTGAAAGTCAAAGGTCAAAAAAGGTATTAAATATATTCAATTGTACACATTTATTATTCTGCTGAGTAAACTGTCATCAATATACTTTACAGAGTGGCTTCTGCTAAGCCCCACCCCTGGGATATATCTGTTAACACATCCCACAAAACAACAGGGTAAACATTTGTTTGTAGTACTGTACTTCTTCTTCTACTTCAATACTCGTCAAAGCCTGCGCAGCATCTTGACGAGTGTGCTCAGCCGCCGACAGACAGCTTTGTTCCAGTGCAATAACACTAACTATGCGACTATTTACAATATGATGATCATTTAGGGTCTGGATGGCACCCTTGAACTGCTTTAGTAGAGTCTATAGTAGGCAGTTCAATTATTTCCTTGGGGACTGCTTCCCAGTGTTTCAGTGTCCTTGGGAAGAAGCTGAATTTATAGGTGTTTGAGGGACACAGGCATTTGTGAGACAAGCATATATTCTGGGCCCAGTTCATGTCATTGTTAATTCGACACCCAGAGAGATCAATTGTATTGGCGATGCAACAAGCATGACATGTGTTCAGGCACTTTTTTCATATCTCGTCATCTGGAAGACGGGTCTGGTGGGGAATCCAATATCTTGGTGATTGTTTAATTAGAATCTTCTAATTTTTGTTTACAGTAATCCATTTTCCAGCAATACATTTTCCTTTACACACTTATTCTGAATTAGCTAGGTCTAAATCAGTATTACTATAATAATGCGGAAGTTAAAGCAGCCTGATACAATTTCACTAGGCCTAGCCACCACCTTTCAAAAGCCTGTTCACCAGAACCGACAAGGGCTGAAATCCAGTCGCCTCGTGAAAGATTCGGCTCGACGTAAGCCTAGGCTTGACCTTAGGCCTAGCCCTGTAATAATCTTCAAATACAAATAATACTTGTGTCATTTTAAAATCGAGGTAACACAGATATTTGAATATCATTTATGTTGATTAAATAACGAAAATCTTACATTTTGAGCTTCTTTATTGTCCATATCTGTACAAAACTCCACACACACAAAACCGCATTTGCTTTACTCGCAACGATATTATTATTATCTTCGAGCGTTAGCCGAGTTGTATGGGACGCCTGCAGTGAATTCGGTTTGGCAAAAATAATATTATTGCATTTACAGGTTTAATATTTACTCGACAAGTCATATATATGATGCTTCCAAACAACAAATTACTTTTTAAATAGAGAACTGTGAGTCAAATATATTTTTACAATATTTTAATGGGCATAAATTGAACTCAAGCTTCCAAAACAACAAATTACCTTTTAATTAGAGAACTGTGAGCCAATATTTTTACAATATTTTAATGGACATAAATTGAACTTAAAAAAATGCCAATATTGGTGAGAAACCTAAAATAATGGTCTACGATGTATGTTTTTTCCAGAACTAGACGGGTGCACACGTCTAGAGGGTAAAACGTCACAAACTTTTGGTCCTTACTCAAATTAGTAGGCCTATATGATGATTATTACAGTAGTTTTGTTTTGCTTGCTTTGTTTGTATGACAAGTACAATCATTAGATGTTTGTATGCTCGTCAATGGAAAGTACTTTTCAAAAGCTAAGTTTCAGTTTATTCAACAGGCACTATCAACATATCAAGTTTATTTATCAGATCAGTTAAAAAAGTGTAATTAAACAACTGCAAATTAGCAGTTTACACAAGGTTACATAAATATAAAAAAGCGGTATCAACAACCGAAAGGTCCACTGATTAATCTCAGATAAGATATAATACTTACTCCAAGCATGGAGGTTCTATTTTATACCTCCATGCTCCAAGCATAGAGAAATTCTATTTTCTCTATGCTCCAAGTAGGCCTATATGCACACCATCATGTCGGCATTAAATATGTCATCATCAGGAAGTTCAACAAAGTAAAAAGCGGTATCAACAACCGAAAGTGAAATTAAACAACTGCAAATTAGCAGTTTACACAAGGTTACATAAATATAAAAAAGCGGTATCAACAACCGAAAGTGAAATTAAACAACTGCAAATTAGCAGTTTACACAAGGTTACATAAATATAAAAAAGCGGTATCAACAACCGAAAGTGAAATTAAACAACTGCAAATTAGCAGTTTACACAAGGTTACATAAATATAAAAAAGCGGTATCAACAACCGAAAGTGAAATTAAACAACTGCAAATTAGCAGTTTACACAAGGTTACATAAATATAAAAAAGCGGTATCAACAACCGAAAGTGAAATTAAACAACTGCAAATTAGCAGTTTACACAAGGTTACATAAATATAAAAAAGCGGTATCAACAACCGAAAGTGAAATTAAACAACTGCAAATTAGCAGTTTACACAAGGTTACATAAATATAAAAAAGCGGTATCAACAACCGAAAGGTCCACTGATTAATCTCAGATAAGATATAATACTTACTCCAAACATAGAGAAATTCTATTTTCTCTATGCTCCAAGTAGACCTATATGCACACCATCATGTCGGCATTAAATATGTCATCATCAGGAAGTTCAACAAAGTGTAACTTCCAGAGTCCATACATTATTAACATACAATCTTTACGTAGAAAATGAAGACCCCTATTTTCTCTTTTATTTTTAATGATAGGCTATACTCTGAGGCTGTCACAAATCAAAATTACAATATTATTTGGACGCCTGTTAATATCAAGGGTCACCCTATATGGGTGTCTACAAAACAAAGACTGAAGACCTAAAAAAAAACGATCACACCCAATTATTTCTTAATTTTTTTATTTAAAGTATTTCAAAATCATCATTAAACTATTGCCAAGTACTTCGTTTATCATTTCATGGGTTTATTATGAGGAACATCATATATACACTCTGTATGGATGTCTACAAAAACGTGGGCCTAAAATATAACGCCCGAAAAATAAATACTCCATTTCTCTCTTTGATTGTACTAAAAAAATATATCAGGCTATGACAAAATGAAAATTACGATATTATTTGGACGTCTGTTTGTGAAATTATCACTGGTCTTCGATTTTGTAAATGTTATAAATGTTGTTTTGTTTGTTTGTTTTTTTATAGACACCCCCGGCCATTTTTTCTCAATTATCTTTATGAAAATATTTCGAAATTTTACATGGGAATAACATAAAGAATATCAAGATAACCAAAGGTCTTCGTTTTATACACATCCTATATGGGTGTCTATAAAACGAAGACCTAAAACCCAAAAACTAAGATCCGCATTTTCTCTATTTAATTTTAATGTAAACATATCAGACTATTACAAAATCAAAATTACAAGATTATTTGGACGTCTGATTGTGAAATTATCAAATATAGACACCCTAATATGGGTTTCTACAAAACCGAAGACCTGAAAAACAAGTTTTAAGCATACCAATGCGTTATAGGGCGTACTCTCAGTAGCGCCCGTCAAAATGATCATCGAGCCCCCACCCCCCACACTTCGCCTTCGCGCCCCCTCATCAGCACCCCCACTTCCAGACTTCTAGATACGCAACTGTATATTCTTAACAAAATTCTGACTAAATATGCTATCCGCTGATGAGAAAAACATCCTCATGGCTAATATACCTGGAATAAACCATGTTTGTTATCTATCAAGTATGACACGAAATCCAAATACATTTTTCCACTTTAGCTGAGTTATTGAGCTTACACGAATTGAACAATATAAAAAACTATATTAATCATGCGATTAGAATCTCAAATTAACTGTAACCATCAAAAAAACTTCAAATACAACTTTTAGAGTATAATTTAGTAATATATGCACGCTTGTTTTTTTTGTTTTTGTTTTGTTTTGTTTTGTTTTGTTTTGTTTTGTTTTATTTATTTTTTGCTAATTAGTAACATATCTTTAAAGTAATGACGTGCTATACAGCTTCAGTCGTGTATTTTGTATGACCAAGCATCATAGAGGTATGTTGCCATAGAAAAATCTGTACTGAGATTGAAACCATAGTCCTGTATCAAAAACAAATGACAAGCCCTTTCTAACAAAGATAATAATTCATTGTAAATATTTATTCGGGATGATTATTTAACAAAATGGTTAACCAGTCCAATATATTTCCTGCTTTGAAATAAATGAAATAATGAATGAAATGAATCTAAACCAAAACAAATTCGAAAGTTATTTGTAAATATTGTTAATCGGGATAACTATTTAACCAAATAGTTAACCAGTCTAAAATACTTCCTGATATTTCTGTTTTACTTCCTAGTCTGAATCTGAACCAAAACAAATTCTACATGGCAATCAAAACTATTATATGTATGTATATATATATATATATATATATATATATATATATATAATATTTTTTTTTGCCATGTATATATATATATATAACTAACATATTAGTGCGAATAGCCTAAATTTAATGTTCTCTATAAAAAAAATTATATTTAGTTGAAATCATGTTTTTAAGGGATTTTATTTTATAAATACTTTTATTGGTGGTATATTTTTTATTGTCGAATCTACTCGACGGACTGTAGTAAAACAAAGTCATTGGTAACTTATATTAAAAAATAAACTGATAACGTCGACAATATTATAACGATTTATATTGTACGTAATTTGACACACTATATTATCCTATTTCGCAAGTAATTGTTAGGCATAAAGCAGCATTTAATTTTACTATTTACACAACACGTTTGCGTTACAAGTTAGTAGGCCAATGTAATGTCCGAGAAACATTTCTCTATTGTAGTATTGTTTGTAGACAGAGCCACTATGTACTTGACCAACGGCTTAATGATCCATCCAAAGGACGAGGTAGTATTAAGGGTAATGCCCTTATACAAATTGACACGCTCGATGGTTGATAGCTTTAAAGCAAGGTACGGGATGATGATGGTGAATATATTTGTGATTTTAATGGTGATAATGATAATGGTTGTTAAAGTGATTTTGACAATGATAGAAAGGTGGCAGTGATGTTAATGATGATGATAATTTAATTTAATAGGGTCTAGTTCAGACTAGGTGGATAAACCCAGCTAGACTCACCGGGTTTATCCACCTGCCAGTCTGGTCTGAACTATGTGGCTTATCTCAAGCCGGGCTCGTGTGCTCCTATAGTAACTATAGGCCTGGCGCGCCACACGGTTTAACCTTTCAAAGCCGGGCTTTAATAGTTGCGGGGGTCTTGCATTGACTTCGGGTAACGAAATGACCAATCAGCATTTAATTACGTACGCCGTGAGCGAGAGTACCCTACGTTTCGCGAGCAATGTTTTGAAACACGTTTCCTGGTTACCGAAAGGTCCACTGATTAATCTCAGATAAGAAAGTATAATACATACTCCAAGTATTGAAATACACGCCATCGTGTTGGGATTCAATATTTCGACATTAATTATGTCATCATCAGGAATGGTTACGGTTCATTATTATGCAAATTCTCGTGGCTAAACCCGCTAGTCTGAATGCCCGGCAAAGTTAAGAAGGGCTTAACGTTGAGCCGGGCTTAACTCAAGCCTAGCTTATCTCCAAGTCTGAACGTAGCCTAACATTTATATCACTGCGAGTATTTCATCACAGCTGCATATAAATCTACATAAATAGGCCTACCTTTCTTTTATTTATTGTCAAATCTTTATTTCAATCATTAATTAGCAAATAGGCCTATTTATATGGCTGCATTTGTATACTTTGTATAAGTTTTCTATAGGCCTATGTTAATGTCACAATTTCTATTCTATGCTCCATTTTCCACTTTTCTATACATTACGGGATTCTTCAAATCCGACTTCATGCCTTGACATCTTCGTAAATGGGATCAACCTTAGTGCGCGTTTCATCTACTGCAGCATATGTTGCGTTTGCGTCGTTCTTCGTGGTACTATAAGCGTTATCATTCACTTTGTTAAGTTCATTGTAAACTGCAGGAGTAGGCTTATTACTCAGAGCTTGGTAATGAGCGTTCTGATACTGAAGTTGAAATTCTCTTTCTTTTTTTTTCTAGAAAAAAATAAACAATATTTGATTAATGTTAAAACATGTACTTGGCCTAGTTAATTTAACAACACAAATTATGGCAATAGGCCTATTAAATTCAATATTTCATTTATTCATT